GGGTGGAAAAAATATGGGGCCCGAAAGGGAGCGGGGCTAAATAATCAGGAGCCTCCATTTGGAGTTGGCCTATCAGGTTGAATAGCCATGGAATACTGTTTTGTTACATGCGGATCGAGTGGCGCAGGGAAGTTGAGTTGGGGTTAGCATGGAAGGCTAAGGGGCTCTATTCTAACCCCGAAGGCCCTCAACATGTCGGTGATTCCGTGAAATGGTGCAATCATATTGTGCTTCAACCCTGAACCCCCGACCACGAAATTTCTTAGGACTTCTATTCCATGCGCGGGCTTGCATTTGGGAACTTCCAGGCCCAAGTTAGTGTTCCCGTCAAAGTACTGCTGGCCCAGATTGTCTACTGTGTAGGCACAACCCTCATGAGCTTAAGACTCAAGGCCACTCAGTTGATACCCCACTCCGCGAGCAGAACACTTCAAGGTGCGATTCCGAATTTAGAGTTTGGGTGTAGGCTTTATATAGGGCTGTTTGGAGCCCATCCCCGCTGTAGGCAGTAGAATGGGGGAGCACCGAAAGGTCCGCAGTCTTTGCTGCATTGTAGACTGGACCTGTGAGATACGCGAGCACTGGGAAAAAACAAACATTGCGACCCGCAGTCCAGAAAGAAGTCGATGATCATACACAGAAAACATGCTTGTTATTGTAGTCCTCGTAAGTAGATAGAATATGAGTATTTAGGGGATGTTATTGTCATATACCCAAAACCACATTCTATCTACCTAAGGGTGACTTATATGCTTTGCGGAAATTTTGCCAGCAGCTCCAATCCTGAGTGGGGTGGCTGCGATCCAGAAGCCCCTGAGCCAAAATCCAAAGCCCTAAACCCTAAATCCAAAACTTAGGGTTTAGGGGTTTCTAGATCCAAAACTAGGCCCAACTCCCCAAACGAAAGCTCTAAACCCACACCCCCGGACCCTGAACCCCAAAAAAACCCTAAACCCCCAAACCCAAAACCCTAAATCAGGGCAATTTAGAACAATTTCAACTCCCAATTTAAAGCAATTTCGGTACTATTCCCTATATAAACCACCATTTAGGGTGAGGTCGGGTGAGGTCGCTTTAAATCGCCCAGCTAAGCCCTACATAATCCCCAATTAACCCCTATTCTAGTCCCCTATATAACCCCCTTTTAGCACCTGTGAGAAATGCGGCACCATAGGTGAGCCCGACCAAGCTTAGCTCCTGGCACAGAAGAGACCGCATAGGAACATATAGGGCGCATAGTGGGAGGATATAGGGTTCAGGGTTTAGGATTTAGGTGTATGTTTAGGATTTATAGGGTTTAGCATTTAGGATTTAGGCTTAGGGTTTAGGATTTAGGCTAGTGCGATGGCGGAGGGATTCTACGGGGAGAATGGAAAACAAAATGGACTAGGAACAGGGGCCACTAGGGACCTCAAGGTATTTTAGGGACTATGGCGGGAATATTGGGTCCTTGCTGGGGATTATATACGGGTTGAGAAACTCCCATATCCGTTAAAGGTGCATATCCTCATCTTAAGACTATATCACGTCGGGGAGTTACCAGGTGGGTGGCCTGACATAATACATAAGAAGTATTTAAGGCTTATATTAATGGGGACCCTAGGAGTATAGAAGGGCTACGTAGGGCTTGCATGGGAAAAGCTTCCGACCTGAAATTTCCTTGGTTATCGGACTCAGACTCGAGCTCCCGCTACACCCAGCAGGCCCTGTAAAGGATCCAAAAAGTGGAACCTCCTTGTTATCCCCTAGCTAGTTTCCTTGCCACAGGATGATTTTTTGGGGATTCAATTTTTGGGTTCTTCGGGAGTCCGGGCAATTGAAGACAATGGCAAACCCTGTAACAAGATAATTCCTGCTGAGGTCTAATACGGACTCTGCCTGTCGATTATTTGGGCGGTCCCGGAGCCACCCTTAGTGGTTTGCCTAACCAAAAATAGCTCTAATAGGGTTTACAATATCCTTAGACTCTACAATCAATAGACCTCAAATCCCAAAACACTCAAGCATCTTTTACGTAGAAATTCCGGCAACCCCAACATGTACCTTGCCAACCCCTTTCCTATTTGACTGGTTCGGAAGTTTAAGCTGGAGCGGAGCAATCATCTCTATGCAATCCCGAAGTATATAGTCCCCCTTACTTAGATAGAATATGGGGTATATGGGGATCTTATTTACTATATCCAAAGCCATATTCTATCTACTTTAGGGGGACTATACAGTTCACCTCTAGCTTCTTACCAGCCCAAAACTGAAGAAACATACATGTTCAACACCCCAAGACCCTCGAGCACAAGTCACTGGGTTGCTTCAAAGATATTCTGCCATGATGCGGAGAGAGGGAGAGAGAGAGAGAGAGTGTTATATGTATAATCATTTAAAATTTGGCTTCCTTATTTTGGTAACTTAGTTTATGCAACTGAGTTAAACACAAGTACACTCAGGTGTGGCGAGACACCGCGGCCCTCCGTTCATCCAGAATCGTAAGCACAGGAAGACTGCCGAGGTACTTCCTGGAAGGCGCAAGCATGAAACATAGCCTGTAACAGCCGGAAAGCCAAAACATAGTGTGATAGAATGTGTTTAGGGTCTCATACTTCAAAACAGCACATATTATGATGACATATTTCGTGCCTACATGTAATGGCATGTCAAACTGGGCGCAAAATGCTGTCCGCAATGCACACAATCCTCTCCCCTTATATTGAACCCACCCCCCACCCCCGCCCCTCACAATGTTAAAAAATCAAGATATAATATATGTACCATAACTTGGAACAGTTAGTATTTAGGGGATGGGGTGGTGAACGTCCAAAAGCCCTCAGCCCGAGCGGGTTCCAACATTTACCGTAGCCTCTTGTTGCCGGTTTAGGGTTTAGGGGTTTGGGGGTTAGACGCAGGTTCTGGTCTCAAAAACAAAGAGGTTCCCTTGGGGACCCCAGAGGTGCACGAGCGTTATGAGGAGATCCTGGGGATCCTCGTTCAGAACTGTATAGGCATCATGCTGCCCTAAACCCTACAGCTAGGGATCATGATGAGCAATCTGCAGATACGTATTTCCCAGGCAGCTGTTTATACCTGCAAGGTACGATCATCATGAGTCTTGGGCTCCTCAAATACAAGGCCTTCAACCCTTTGCAGCGCTAAACCCAAGACCCTGAGGCGCGGAACCCCAAAACAACTAGGCACTACACCTTGAACCCTAAACCCTCAAACCTAGGCTACAAACATGCACCCCTGTCAAAGCCGAGTTTCTTGTACTGCTCGGACCTTATTTATCGGATGGGGTTGTGGCAGAGAGGGTTGAGGCCCCAGAGGACTTGAGGTTTAAGATTTACATGAGCTATAGTCTAATTACTCCTTAGAGGGGGGTATATAGGGGAGTATATAGGGACGACTATAGGCGTTTCTAAGAGGCATGCTAGGAATTTAGATTATTGCTCACATAGCGAAGTCACAGGTTTGAGGCGCACGGGGTGGAGTCAAGAAGTTAATCCACATCCCATGCAATATCTGGACCTTGAGAATACGACTGATGATTGGGTGCATGGGTCGTCCATCAAGACCTAAAGGCCGTCTTGTAACTGGAACCAAAAATGGACCAAGGTTTTGGCAATTTACCATGTGAGTGCACAAAAACGATTCAACGTGCGATGCTGATCGGCTTACCTCTGTCAGTGTGGGGCCTTTCCCAAATTCATGACGCTGTTGACTTGTGCTGTTGGACCTCCTTTAGTATTGAGGTCCTCTATAACGTGGTTTGGATCCATCTTATTGAATCTCAGGAGGTACTGAGTTGAGGCCCGCTACCGTGTGTTTCGATTTTGGGGCGTAAGGCTTCAGTGACTATAGGAAAGGTTTCGCGCCCTTTGCTTTTTACAAGGCAAGAACACTTTTGTTCCATTTGCTTTTAAACTTCATGCCTTCTAACATCCTTTCAGGACCAGCAATCTGAGCGTTGGATCCAAAACCCAGATACCAACCCCTAAGCCTTCAGACGACCAGCTTTGTTTGGGCAAAGGGGGTACCCTTGATCCTGCAACTTTTGGGGACCAGACCATCCCTTTTAAATCAGTCACCAGAGCCCTAAGAACTTGGGAGGCTTGGGGCGGCCATTTAGGGTTTAGGGTTTAGGGTTCAGGGTGTAGGGTTTAGGGCCCGTATTACAGTGGTTTACTTTTCCTGACCCCTGCTGGTAGGGGGGGTGGGCGTGGGGGAGGAAGGTGGGTCCCCAAAATTAAAGAAGGCCAGGGGGCCTAACGTAATTGCTTTGATTGTCGTCATGATGTCATTACTATTTCCATCTTGGTCTCTACCTGATCCAACTACAAGTATGTTTGCTGGTTTAACTAGTGCTGCTGAAGCAACGACTAATACTTTCCCATTACTATCCACTGCTACAGCTACATTGCCGTAGTATCGGAGAACTCTGTCAACGTGGCTTCAACCTTCAGCTAGGGCACAACTGTGGTTCGTTCGGATCACCTGCGCATGAGCAAGAGCGTACTTTCCCTTGCAGCCTTCATCCCACTAATGCGGTCGTTCTGCCCAAGGCCCAAAGTGCCAGGCTTGGGATCTTACAGTATGCCTGCTTCCAGAACTAAAGCAAGGTTTTGTTGCCGCGCGCCAAGTGGCTAGTTGCAGAAATACCGATGTCTTGATATGCAATGATAGTGGAGCAGCATCCAGTAATGGTCTCTTTTTCTTAATTCCATGCAGCAACCCCCTTATGAACATGGGGTCCTCATTGGTCAGGACGGGTTTAAAAGGGGCCTAATTATGATGTTGGGAAACGCCGGGAACATTTATAGCGCGCCGGTCCGCGATGCTTGGAAACTGCTCTGGAATGTCTGGACACCGTCTACAATAACTCTTGAAGGCTTCAATCATGTTGTAAATAGGAGCTTGGCTTTAGCGTGATCTGTCACCCTGTCTCTGTCCCTTCCTCTCCTAGTTCTTCCTTTCTTTTTCTTCTTCCACGAGCTATAGTATAGGAGACCCGAGAGCCTTTTCAGGCTGCACCCTGAACCCCTTCGCACAGCTGCTCCGTTTGGTCCCACCCAGGAGGGTTGAGGTGCCCCTCCAAATAGGAGACCCATTCTTTTCTACGATCCCTACAACAAACTTAACTGGCATGCATCTCCCATCTCAACCTCCTTCCTCGTCGACTGGGGCGAGAAACTCCTCTACATATCTGTGTCTTCCTCAGTTTCACACAAACCCACTGCACACTATTAAAAAGCCTTCTGACACACAAATATCGAGCACTGCTGCGTAACAAGGATTATCACTAAGACTCCTACCATATTGCATGACAGGGGCACAGCTCCGTTTCCTCTCCCGCATCCTCCCTCACAAGGCCGCAAATCGGAGTTCCCTACCCGGGTCAGATTGCTGGCCTTGGATGCATGCCACCCTCTATCAGAGTCTCCATCCCTGCCCTCTCTCACCACTAGTGCTGAACGTTCATCTCTGGCTTCGCCCCTCCTGCCCCAATGTCTTTACCTGTTTGAGGTGATGCCTCAGTCAGTGAGCGGTAGAGGTCCCACCGCAAGCTGGGGGTGTGGGAGGGAAAATGGCAGCTCCAGACCATAACAACTGTCTGATCACGATGCGCGCACACAGCGATTGCATAGGATGTAGTTTCGAGCCCACTGCTTCAACCAGAACACGCAATGCGTACCCGAGAGGAACGCAAGCCGATTGCAGCACATCCATCCTTTCAGCAATTCGTATCGCATACCCCCTCCCAAGCAGCAATGTGCCAGGCTTTCTCTTGCGCAAACCATGGCTGTCAAAGGAAACAGGAAGAAGTTTGGGGCTTAAAGTATAGCACCCCACGTAGCCACATATTGAACCTGTAGCCAATATTTGCTTGAACATCCAAAGCAAAAACGCAGTCTTCCTTGACACTCTCATCACCAGCTCCCTCGGCATCCACCGGCTCACTCATTACAATCTTCATCTCCGATCACAAATCTCGAGGTGTCAGCTGATATGTCTAATGAGGGGTTTTTGGTGACCCCAACGCTCGAAACAGGTACCCTGTGACTATCACATGACTCTTTGAGAGCCCTTCTTCTACGAGTTGCCATTGCAACAATGTCAGCACATGCAAACCTATCATGCACTTGCAGCCGCCAGACACAGCCATGGTCAAGAAGAAACACGCCAAACCCTACATGCCAAAGCTGACCAAATCGACACTGAAACCTGAACCTTGCCACGTTGAACCCACAGCCTACATCCCTGCAACACCCCCGGCTTCCATGTTATTGCGCATCTGTTTTCCATCTGACCTTCTATTCCTTACCTTGAACCCAAACGCCAAGTTGAAATGCTAGCTTCCATTTTGTCTTACATTCCCCTGAAAGCCCTTTGTTACCCCAGACAAGCCCACAGACATCATTTCGTATGCCATTTCCTTTTCCATTTGAATCCTTTCCGGCCTGAGGGCGTGAGGATACCCTGTCTCACTAGGTTCAAGCTATCCTCCCGCATAGCTCGCCTTTGCCGGATCTTGTTTTCGAGGTCTCACAATTGAGGAAGCTGGGGCTCTAAGCATTCGTAACCACAAGGAAGGAAAGTGGGGCCCTAAGCAATTGAAAGTTCATGTTTTCTTGAGAGGTTATAGGTCTGAGGTCTTAGGGTTTGGGGTCAATATGGTGTAGGGTTCAGGGACCCTCTGTCGAGTCCAGGCAATACAAGTTCCCAAAGCCGTGGCCTTCGCGGCAGCTAGGCTTGATACTCGCAATCCTGCATGACCCTAACCAATCTAAACTTAAACAAATATGGTGTACATACTACTATAAGCACACATTCTGGATTTTAGTATCCACCGTACAGGGCTTCAAGCTGAGCCACCGAGATCAAACCTCCTTGAACAAACTCTACGACTGGATATGTGTGTCTGCAGGTATGCATGTGTACATATACATAAGGGCTGTCAAATTCATGCTCCTTTTTTGGGCACCCTGACTGAATCTTAGGGGCGTAAAAGAAAGCATACTTTGACTACCTTCCACATGCATGCTGTCAGGCCTATGCGGGCCATGCATACTTTCAGGGGTCTGAACTTTACTGTATCAGCTGTTCTGCAAGAACTTCTCCTTCGCCCAAAAGGACTGCGAACCGCGGAGAAACTTCTACCTGAATGGATATACGGATGGGTAATTTCCGGGGACCTTGCGAGAAACCCAAAGCAACTAAGCATCCGGTAGGGAGGTTCTGCGTAGGGTTCAAGCATCATAAAACAGAGCGCTGGCACAATCCACAGAATAACTGGTGGCTAGCAGGGAATACGGCAATGTAGTCCCATCGCAAAGTACTACTAGCAAACCAAACAAGTCAAGTGGACCTCCACCCACACACACACATGTTTGTGACCAGCGCTGTGTGATCTGTTTCTGTGCGCACAAAGATAGTTTGGCACCTCGTCCAATAATCCAGCTACAGCCTGACTGCCCATGCCACAGCACCCTATCACAAGGGCGGGCGGGCGGGGAATCTGCGCAGTAGCAGTAAATATCTGCTCAAGGGCAGCTGCAACAGCCAAATCACCACCTGACGCAAGGCAGACAATACCTGAAGAATACATAACACAAGCGAAAATGTAGAAGTACTTGGAGGGGGGTTCCCTGCTATACCATGTGATGGCGCCATGCATGCACCTAACCACGCCAACCACTGCAAAGTACCCTGTTATACTCCCTACATAATAGTGGTTGAACCAAGTAAGATGATATTCTGATTATTCTGTACCTAAACGACTATACCCAAAAGATGGATATAATCTTACTCTATAGGTGCCGGCGGCAGCGGGTGCGCTGTGCATTGCTATATGTTCAGCTCATCATGATGACTAACTAGGGCCAGAAGGAAACATCAGATCTAATAAATGACATCGTGAAGCTGGAGGCCCTTCGTGGCCAGAGTTTGGGGCATTTTGGGGTCCACGGCCTACGCCTTGTGTGGGTAAACCAAATTATCAGGGCCAATGAGCTGAATTGCAAGCTCTCACACACGGACGCTCTCCCAGATGAAACGCGCAAGGTCAAGGGGCCGAGATTTACGAGAGCTTCACTCTTTGCTAGTCTGTGGCACGAACCAGGACATTATAAATCACACGTTTCGAATGTATCATTGCCTCTACTGTGGGACCCCTCAGAAGGGACCCCTGTCACAAACCAAACATGTATGGTTGTGCAGGCTGGTACTGGTGGAGCGATGCGACTTATATTAGGGTAAGCGCGCTCGCAGACTGAGGATGAAACGGATCTCAAAATCGTTGGCCTAAAGCGAGGATGTCCAAAAAGAGCGGCCCTTTTCGCAATTGTGTAGGGCAAGTTCTGAGAAATGCGCAGACCAGAATGTACTGGGTCAGGGTTGTCATGTTCGAGAGCCTCTCGTTACTTGAACTCACACCCAGTACCTTCTGTTAGAGCCCCAGAATTCTTATGGCCCAACTGTGAGACTTAACTTTGCTAGTGCTCGGTGTCCCCAAAAAGCTTGAGAAGTCCTCGTTGATCTGAAGCTTTTGTGTCCTGGGGGGAGGCTTGAGGCGTCTGTTGCCCACTGATTTCACAAAGCTGCACCATCTCGCCATCAACCGCTCCGCGGAGCCTTTGCTTCAATGGGACCCTTATAAGGCTTCGTCTGACACGTGCAACAAGATCAACAACGTCACCACCGCCCCCAGCCCCTGCCCCCGTCACTGCCAGCACCAGCACTGTGCAATATCACCAGCAGCGCTGATCATCATCAATGTCACTGCCAGAATGGCCGTATTGCTTTCAGTCTCGCATGTAAGCAAGGCAGCGTGGCAGGGCAACATTTCATTACCCATCTTTGCGTGTTTCTTGTAGAGGCACCTGACACCAAAACAAAGAGGATGCTTTTGGGATGCGACCGAATGCTAGCACACGTGTGGCGGAGCCTTTGAACGAGCTTGTGAACTCGAACTGAAGCCCTTGATCATGGCAACGCCCTGCCCCACGTATGTCACAATGCGGCTGCTCACCACCCGTATAGATGCTGTCATGCCGACCTGGGCCCCTGAACTGGGCGATGAACGCTCACCCACAAAGCTCGCACCTTGAGCCGCAACAAGAGTTTACTGTTGAGAACTTCAGAAGCCCGCCTGCAGGTCTTCAACGGAAACATGTCAAAGCTCACGTCAAGGAGCAGAGACAGCCCATAGAAGCGACCCTGCCGCTGTAGCGCCTCCGAAACATTGCTGTCGATGACCTCGCTGGGATGCAGAGGACTTTTGCAAAAGAAGGGTACCCTTGAAGAGCTTCAGGACGTACAGGGATTATGTGTAGATATCACGAGCACGAGAAACTGCATACTACATGGCGGATTATGTGTGGAGTTCACGAGAATTCATACTACAAATTACACTAAGAAACTACACACCCTGTGGCTTCCAGACCGCTCCTTCATGTTCGCAATCAGTGGCACAGTCTGTGGGTATGGAGCTATGAATCCAGCCTGTTGGGCTCAGGGATCAGGGGACAAGATGCTTTTGGGGTTGCCAAGTTGCTATCATCACCGTCGTGCCATGGATGAAGGATTTGGAATTCCTATGGGCTTCGTCTCATGCGCTCGACAAGGCGGATTGCCCAGGCTTAAAGCATGCCATTACCCACAAGAAGAGACACCAACCCAAGCACTGGACAACCACTCCCAACTCCCGACAACTTCCGGTGGTTAGCAAAATTGAAGCAATACAATCCCTACATAATGCCGACCTTCTCACCCCCAGTAAAATTTTTGCCAAATCTTGAGAGAGGAGCTCCTTCGACATCAGAGAAGGTCATGCTTGCTACATGCGGCACGTTACGTTGCTGGAATACTTCAAATTACGCAGTCGCCTCGCTAAGGCAACTATGCGGACTATGCGTGATGCGCATATGAGTAACGTTCTAGATGGCTGAATCATGTAACAAAACTAAATTCTTCTCATAAACTACCAGAACCACAACGAGAAACTTATACTAACCTGAACGGGGGTAAAAAGCTACTCATCAGTGCATCTAATGAAGAACTGGTTCTAGCCAGGCTAGAAGAGCTGTCATCTTCGGATCATGGAGACTCGAGGCCCTTGGGGTTGAGGGTCTGTCAGGAAGTGCTGCTATCAACTTCGCCCGGAACACTGGCGCTAAGCATGAAATCCCGCCGATCACGTCCGAACCGCCCAATGCCAAACCAAAGGCCTCAAAGCCTAGCCCTTTTCTCTTAGGTAAGGGTTTCTTGGGGTTGCAGCAGGACTTAGCATGTAAGTGAAAGAAAGGAATGATTAGGGTTATGACGCACATTTTACAAGTATAGCCTTGGAGGCACGTAGAACAAAGGGTAACTCTTTGCACCGAAATGGACGGTACCCGCTTTTGACTACATGGGACGATTTCCCGAAACAACACACACTTCTTGACTCCAGCTGATCCGTGGTATCCTATGCCTGACTGCATCACCCTTCATAACGCTGCGCTCTAGACCCGGAGCTAAACCACCACCCCAGTCTTGAACCAAACCCTCTTGGGTGGTTGTACAAGGTAATATTATACGATTCGCGGCAAATACGGAAAGCAAAAAGAGGACACAATCTTACTTTATGTTGGGGATTCATACCACCAAACACGTAAAACGCTACTCAACTCGACGGGTAGTCACGTTATAAAACACCGGTGTGATGAATAGAAAGCTTAAGAAACTACATGATAATTCCCCATTGTCACTTGAGCTTGCCCCTAGCCCCAAACCTCTATTAACCACTGTATTGTCCTGGCCTCCCTTTTGCTGCCCATGTTCTGTCCATTTGATTCTGCGTTACCGCCTTGACCCCAGGCCTAGAGACTCTCTCTATGCTAGTTCTATACCATATCCCGATCTATATATACATATATATATATATACATGTCCCTATACACCCGTCCATCTGCTTACATATCTAGCCCTACTATTGAAGTATGAACGCCGCAAAAAAAAAAAAAAAGAGTGTACATATAGACCTAGCTCAG